TCTTCTCCAGCACCACAGCTCAAAGGCATCAATTCTCCTTTTATACTCCCTAGTCATTGTCCAACTCTCTGATGCATAACAAGTGATTGCAAAGACCATGTGGCCTGTATCAGATGCACCTTAGTCTCCAGAGACACACCACTGTTCTTGAGTGCTTTAGAGAGGTCTCTAACAGCAGACTTTCCCATCACAATACCAGAAGAATGTCTATCTGTGTTTCATTGATTATGCAAAGGCGTTTGACTGCGTGGATCTTAACAAACTGTAGCTGACTCTGAGATGAATGAGAATCCCAGAACATTTAATTGTGCTAATGCGAAGCCTATACTTTGACCAAGAGGCAGTCGTCAGAACAGAGCAGGGTAACACTGCATGGTTCAAAATTGGGAAGGGTGTACGCCAGGGTAGTGTCCTATCTCCATACCTTTTCAACCTGTATGCAGAGCAGATTATCTGAGCAGCTGGACTCTATTAGGAGAAGTGTGGCGTCAGGATTGGTGGAAGATTTATTAACAATCTGCGCTATGCAGATGACACAACCCTGCTTGCTGAACCTGAGGAGGACCTCATGCACTTGCTGCAGAGGGTCAAGGACTGCAGCCTTCAGTGTGGACTGAGGCTCAATGTCAAGAAGACAAAGATTCTCACCACTGGACCTATAGGTAGCCTCAGGATGGATGGCGAAGAGATTGAGATTGTTCACAGCTTCAGTTTGCTTGGCTCCACGGTCAACACTCTCGGCACCAGCAGCCAGGAAATCAAAAAACGTATTGTGATGGGAAAGTCGGCTGTTAGGGACCTCTCTAAAAAAGAAAAAAAAAACAAAAACAAAAAGCCTCATAGGTGAATAAAAACAAATGGAAAATCTTATTTCCAAACAGGCAATTTCCATAAGCAGCCAATGAACTCAAGATACACAATATTTTAAAGGACATATTTTATAATAGCCCTTAATTCTAACTCAGCCTTATTTAAATGTAATACAAGTTTTTCTAGTATGTGGCCTGTAATGTCTTTAATATCATTAAGGTAAAATGGGGAATAAAGAAAGCCAAGAAAGAGGAACTTCATTATCCTAGAGAAAGAATTGTCAGAAAACATGGGACCCCTTGAGGCTGGCAAATGCCAAGACTCATAGACATCTATAAGAAATAATAAACTTTACCCGAGATCTGACACTCCTAGATCCCTAAATTCTAAGGGAATAAATCTATTAAAGCCATCCACTTGTAGGATTACTACTATTGCAGCACAACATAACTAAGACAGGTTTTGATGAGACTGAAGTGCTGTTCTAACAGATACCTTAAATGTGGATGTAAATTTGGAATTGGATAATAAATCTGGAAGAGTTTTAAGGTGTCGTGTAGTAAAATCCTAAATTCTCTTAGAAAGACTGTTGGTAGTATTAGAGATACCAAAGGCAAATGCTGTGAAGGTTCAAAAGAAAAGAAAAATTTTAACACCAAAGATAGCATGAATGGTAAGAAGCATCAACAGAAACAAAGACCAAAACAGGACAGCATGGAACAGGAAGCCAATACACAGAGCAAGAGAATTGAGAGTTTTGGACTGAAGACTTCCTGGATGAATGAAGTGCATTGCAGCACTTGGTGGAGTGCTTGCTGTCCCAGGGATAGAAAAAGCTGTGTACCTTTTCAGTCTAACCATACTGGCAGAGTGGAATGCTTCCAGGCATTTGCCATTACAGCTAAAGATCACTGCAACATTTGCAGGAGCAGCATAGACATCAGGCTGGCCTCTTGGAGAGACCAAAGAACCAGTTGCCTCAGACATAAACTCTGGTGTCTCATGGAGTAGGGCCATCAAGGCTGGGTTTTCTAAGGATGTAAAAAGAGCAAAGGCCATGCGGGGAAATCCATATTGGACCTTTTCCCAACCTCACAGGGGGAAAATATCTCCACCCACAGCATCAATAACACAAAACCATTCCCATGAGGTCAGACATGTCCCACATGTTCCCATGCCTCCTTCTCCTCCTCTTAACTAACCCCAATCTTACCACTTGGATGGATCCAAAATCTGATGTGGTAGCTTATAGCCCACACAGATCCTTACTGGGAGAGTTAAAAGCTTATAATTCAGATTAATATCAAAATTCAGTCAATGTGTACACAGGTACCTCAACCTCAAGCCTTGAGGCTCTAATTGTCCAACCAAGTTCTCAGTCCTGCCAGCATTGGCTTTCCCCACCCTAAAGTCCCATCTCACATCCAGTTCTCCAGTTCAGACATTGCTGCTGCCGCCACCCTCAACCACTTGGGAGTCTCTGGCAGGGCGAAGAACCCCTTCTGGTGAGGGAAGAATTCCTATTCTCTGCAGCTGTTGTTGTTTGTTGTTAGGTGCCGTTGACTCATAGATGACTCATAGCGACCCTATGACTGAAAGACCCAAGCACTGTTTATAGAGTTTCCAGAGGCAAGCCATTTCGGAAGTGGCTGCCACGCCTGCTTCTAGAGCTGTTTAATATATTGGTGAGACTAGCCAGTCCTCTTGTAGATTGTTGAGACCACCAATCACCTTAAGGAATAGTAGATAGACTATGTCTTCATGGATAGGCTAACACTGCTCACTCACACAGTCCTGCCCCTCCACATAGTCAGTTACCTACACTAGAAAAGCCCTATGGAGAGACAAACTCCACAAAAGGGTGAGGCTATTGCTTCCCACATTTCAGACTCACATCTCTGCCAACTCAATTCTAGAATATGGGGCTGCCAGGTTTGAAGGGACAGAAAAATGGGCCCTGCCAAGATAGAAGATGTAGGGTCACCACTCAAATGGACTGGTATGGGACCACCTAAAGCCCTGGGAGCAGTTTGCTCTTTTGAATGTGCCTAGAGGCGAAGCTGACGCCCAGGGCAAACAGGCCTCCATCCTGAGCAGAGAAAACAGCCAACTCAGTCTAGAGGGCAGAGTCGTTGACTAAATAATCCAAGGCCTGTGCAAATTGTTTGGCTGGGTATTTCACTTGCTTGATGCATGTTGTCCTTTGGTTCCTTCCAATTTCTCTCATTTGTAATGGGAATGTCTACTTTGTGCCTGTGTCTTCCATCCTTTGGAAGTTGATAGCTTGCATTCTAGATTCATGGATGAAAAATTTGCTCAGGATAGAATTTAGATTTGGGACTAAGACTTTTAGAAAAGGCCGTGGCACTAGAGACATTATCACCAATGTAGGATGGATCTTGACTAAAAGCAAAGAGTACTACAGGAATGTCTGTGCTTTATTGACTATGCAAAGACATTTGATTGTGTGGATCACAACAAATTGTGGCTAACCTTGAGGAAAATGGGAATACCAGAACACCTGATTGTACTCATGCAAAACCTGTACTTTGATCAGGAGCCAGTCATCAGAACAGAGAAAAGAGACACTGAATGGTTCAAAATTAGGAAAGGAGTGTGTCAGGGATGCATACTTCTCCACACCTTCTCAATCTATATGTGCACCAGACGATTTGAGAGGCAGGACTTTATGAGGAGTGTAGCATCAGGATTGGAGGAAGACTCATCAACAGCCTGCATTATACAGATGATACAACCTTGTTTGCTGAAACTAAAGAGGTTCTGAAGCATTTACTGCAAGTCAAAGACTGTAGCCTTCAATATGCATTGACCTTAAAATCAAGAAGACAAAGATTCTCACCACTGGGCCAATGGGCAGCTTCATGATGGATGGAGAAGAGATTGAGGTTGTTAACAATTTTAGCTTGCTTGTCTCCACAATCAACACTCTTGGCACCAGCAGTAAGGAAACCAAAAGATGAATTGCATTGGGGAAGTCTGCTGTCAGGGACTTCTCCAGAGTCCTGAGGAGCAATGATGTTAGTCTGGAGACTAATCCAGGACATGGTCTTCTCAATTACATGCTATGCATTAAACAGCTGGAAAATGACTAAGGATGACAGAAGAATTGATGTCTTTGAGTTGTGCAGTAGAGAAGAACATACCATGTACTGCCAAGGGAACAAATGGGTCTGTCTTGGAGAGGGTGAAACCAAGTTTCCCCTTGACGGCAAGGATTTTGAAGCTCTATCTCACATACATGGCCATGTGGGACCAGTCCTTGGAAGACATCATGTATGGAAGGCTGAATGGACAGCACAGGAGAGGAAGACCCCAGATGAGATGGAAATGATTCAGTATCTTGGTCAATGGGATTAGGTGTGTCAGAGTCAGTGAAACTGGCTCAGGATAAGGCAGAGTTCAGAACTGTTGTTCATAGGATCACTCTGAGTTGCAGGTGACTTGACAGCACTTAACAACAAGAAGACTTGTGACAATACAAAAGTATTTCGCATATAGCAAGGACATGAATGTTTGGGGGCCAAAGGGTGGAATATAATGGTTGAATTGGATACCCCATGAACACATCATATATATAATAATAAAATGTGGAATCTACGTAATGATTGCCCAGGTGCAGAAAGATTAAGGATGGAATGCAACACTCCTTAATCCATCATAGTGCTACCTTTCATGTCATAGAGATAAAAGGAGAGGAAAACAGTTTCAGGGTGGTGGCAGCAGGGAGAATTCCACTACCACCAAGAAAGATTCACTAGGAGTAGAAGGCATTATTTTGGACTCACGTCCCTGAATGAGAAAGCTCATTGACACTGGGGAAGGCCAAGACAAACAGACATCTTTAAAGAATTCCAGGCCTTCTCTCCAAGCACAAAGCTCACTGCTTTTGAGTCAGATATCCAGGAGGTATCCAAGTGTAAGTCACATGGGAGGAGACTGTTCTGCTTTCTCCCAAGGAGTCACTGGTGGATAAAAAACCACCAGAAAGATATTGCAGCTCCCTACAGATTATGCCACCAGTGATCCCTGAATTTAAATTCCTAGACAGGTCCTTGAAGAGGGACAGCGCAGGAGGGGAAGACCCTCTATGAGGTGGATTGATTCAGTGACTGGGGTAATCGGGATGGGTGTGTCAGAGGCA